ACTTGGTCAACGGATAGGTTGGTTCTATCTGCAAGTGTATCGTCGGCTTCCAAGGCTTCCCTGACTACTGACACTGCTTCCTTAGGTGGTATGGAGGTGAAAAGTGAGCACACGTCATACGAAGTGATGGTTTCATCATCCTCTACATGAATGTCTTTGATTTTGTTGACAAAGTCGGCACTATTCTGTACATGGTGCTGAGATTTCCCCACTAGTGGTCCCAAAATCTTGGCTAGAAAACCTGCTAACTCATAGGTGACAGAGCCTATACTGGAGACTATGGGTCGTAGAGGGACACTTTGTTTGTGGATTTTGGGAAGGCCGTAGAAAGCAGGGGGTTGTTCCGTTGTGGGATTGAGTTTTAGGTAGGTGGGGCGATCCAGAACTCCTTCAGTTTGCAATTTCTTGAGAGCTGAACTGATTTTCCCTTTAAACTTGTTAGTGGGGTCCTTTTTCAAGGGCGTGTAGGTGTCTTTGTCTCCCAATAGGTCCTGTACCTTCCTGTCGTACTGCTCCCTGTCCAAGACTACTGTGCATCTGCCCTTGTCTGCAGGAAGAATCAATATGTCTTGATTGGTGGCCAAATCTTTGAGAGCGGTACGTTCTTCCCGTGTGATGTTACTAGTAGGGGGTTTGGAGACTTTCAGGGTGGTAGCTACTTTGGTGCGCAAGGCTTCAGCTTGTCTCTGTGGTAAACGTGCCCGACGAATTGCAGAATCGGTTTCTGTGACAATGTCAATGCTGGGAATCTTGTCGGGTGCTACTGCAAAATTTAGACCTTTAGAAAGTAGTGATTTCTCTGGTTCTCTGGTGAGAGTATGGCTACTTAGGTTTTTTACCCACCTCTCGTCGGTTTTGGCCTGTGTAGTGGTTTTGGGTTTGGAACTGTTTGATCTCCAATTTGGGTCACTATCTGCTGCGCTAATAGTCTTCTTTTGCTGTAAACGATCAAATTTGGTCTTCTGTCAACACTTAAGCTCCTGTTCTGTATAACAGGAGCTGTCAGACTAATTTGCATCATTTTGTCTTGACTTGTCTAACTTTTGTTCCTTTTTCGACTTCCAAAAATTTGTCTTCACTTTATTTGCATATCAATAAACAGGTTGTACTTAAAAACCTGCTTTCCCCTCTGGTCTCTCAGTCACTGACGAAAGCTAGTGGATACTAGCTGAAACGTCTGACGTTTTCAAAATCATATCCAGTTGCTTGAGTAACTGTTTTTTGGCGTATCGTATTACCTGGATGTCTAACCTTCATCGACGTAACATATGTCTTCCCTGTTTTTAAAGAGCGATGTTGACTGGCTGGTCCGGAGTGCGAAGAACCCCCCCTACATGCCCCTCATGGTCCCCCCCCTCTTCACGTACGACAACGTCCAGGCCCTGCGAGCGTCCGGGAAGGTGAGCGGCATTCTGGTCGTGAACGGGAACCGCTCTGACCCACAACCGCCCCCGACTGGCTTCTCCCCGGTTCACAAGTGTCCAAACGACGGGTACGGCCTGTATAAGGATGACCCAGAGTACGCCCATTGTAAGAACACCACGTGGAACCCTCTGGGTACGGGGTTATCGTACTTGGACTTCGACTTCCCGATATCGCTTCTGTTGAACCAGACTGACGTGGACAACCTCATCGACTGTTACAACAGGTTTGTTTGTTTGTTTGTTTGTTAATGATGAACACCTGATTCACTGAGTACTATCAAGGTAACCCAATTACCTGTTTACTAGTAAATGTAAACATTGTTTAATATTATCTAGGGAAATCCTTTAAGTTTTTTACTGGTTACATGTAAAATTGCATGTTGGCAGAAAATCTACATGCAAAATTGAAGTTCGGCCTTCAGTCTTCTCCAGATACACAACAAGATACATAAGATAATCTCCAACACATTCATATGATGGAGGGAAATTTGCATATATTAGTGGGTTCACCCGGAATAAATGAAGTGTGTGCCTGCAAACTTGTTTCCATAGACTTGAAAAAATAGGAAAAAAACACCTTACATTTAAAAATTTTTTGGTGTCATATAAAGGGACACAGACAAAAAAAATGCAAAAATAAAACTCCTAAGAAAGTAAATTCATTTACAGTAATAGAACTAAATATGAATACAATAAGATGGCAATTTAACCTGGTTTGTTACACTGAAGGGTGGTTATACTGGCTATACCGATACAAAAAAAATTTAAATACAGATTAACAACAACAAAAAAGCAACAGTTAATAGTATTAGATTCCCCATCTTGGCAATACAGTCACTCCTTGGAAAACCATACAATAAGAACTCAGACATCATTGATCAGAGGTCTGACATGTTTTCTTTCCCCTCCAGGTTCAACAAGTACGACAATGAGAGTAACCAGCAGTACCCGCTGTGTGCCGTGCAGATCAAGGATCGCATGGACGGAGCCAAGGACTCCATCACCTGCATCAGGAGGAGCGAGCTCAGCAGCCAAAGTCTCAACCCCTTCGTGTACTGTGACGCTCTGGGCGACAAGAACGTCTGGGGCACCCTGCGGCCGCTCAACAAGTCCACTCCACTGGACAACAGAAAGGATCTGATCCTGGCTTCAGCGAAGATCGACACCTGGTCGCTGTTTCACAACGTGGGCGGGGTGGGCGCCAACGACGCCACCGGCTTCATCGCTCTCCTGGCGGCTGCAGAGGCTCTTGGGAAACTGGATCAGGCCGAGAAGGAAGGCATGAAGGACGTGATGTTTGTGTTTTTCCAGGGGGAGAGTTTCGACTACATCGGCTCGTCAAGGATGGTGTACGACATGAAGAGGGGTCATTTTCCGGAGAAGCTAGACGACAAAGTATTGCAGCCGTCGCTGGTCAACACGAAAAACATCCAGTATTATCTGGAGGTGAGTCAGGTTGGACTGTGGGAACAGTCAGGTCTGTGGGCCCACAGCGACCCCGTCTCCCAGAAAACATCCGCCGTACGCGACAACGTCAACACCATCTTTGCCGCCATTGAGAACGCAACGGAATCCAGCAACGTCACAATCAGGAAGCCACCGTCGTTCCAGGCCCTGCCCCCCGCGTCCTTGCAGCGCTTTCTACGGGAAGATTCGCGAGTCGCGGGAATGGTCCTCTCCGACCACATGGCGGCGTACAGCAATGACTACTTCATGAGTCGTCTGGACCTGCCCGTAGAGATCGGTATGGACATCCCCGCGGGCCTGAAGCCAGACCAAGCCTACGACTACACGACCAAGCAGGGCGCGAGTCTGACCAAAGTGGCTACAGTCATCGCCAGAACTCTGTACCTCCTAGCCTCAAACAAGACTGCTTCGGAGGCTACCAAAATCGAAGTGAACAGCACAACCATCAACCACCTCCTGTACTGTTTCCTGCAGCAAGCCAACTGCCCTCTCTTTGCCGAGGTTCTCACGAGTAAGTCGGCGGCGGCGTTGAAGTCCCTGCCGGGACCACTCCCGCGTTACGTCAGCGTGCCTCACGATACAGCCAGCCAGATCAGCCAGGTCATCGCTAATGTTCTCACCTTCTACCTCGGCGAGCGGCTGCCCAGCCTCAACAAGTCCAGCGAATGCAAGACTCCCTCCAAGGACCACATCCACAGCTATATCTTCATGAATGGCCGTCCCGTGCTGAACCCGACAGATAACACCACATCGTACGCCAGCTTCTGCATACGCGCGCCCGTACGGTTCTCCAAGGCAGAGTCCCCTGCCTTCTTGTCAAAGGAGATGTTGCACTCAAACGAGTACCCCACATGGACAGAGAGCAGGTGGACCGTTATCAACGCTAAAATATTCCTCGTGTCGAGCGAGGCGGAACAGACCATCACGCTGTCCGTGGGGGTGGTGGTTCTCCTGGTGTCCCTCGTCCTTGTCTATTTCATCAACTCCAAATCAGAAGTCCTCTTCACAGCACCTGAAGCAGCATATTAAACACCAGACAGCCCAAACAAAATAAAAATTGTCTTTTCACGGATCTGGTCACAGTAAATTTTATGGTTGACATCTTCTGTAGATTACAAATCTTATGGAAAACGCAACAAAGAAACAAGCTGAGCTAAAGAAAAGATGCGTAAATTTGTTGTAACAAGAACTGAAGCAGCAAAACATGGCTTTGATTTCAAATTGACAGTAGTGTGGTAGCCTAATAGTAATAGTATCATGAGTAATTACACTCAAGGCTACCATGCTTACTGACATGGCATCTGGCTTGTTTTGTGATAACTGAATTTTGTGACATATTTCCCATTGTCTTGCTGATGGACCATCGGCAGGGGGGAGAAATTTTCTTCTCAAGGTCAGGAGAAAGTCACACTGATGTCATCCATAACATTTACCTGCTGTGGCCTTTACTCTACATTCAGGGTATTTTAAGCACATCGGCAGAACATACTGCACCTGCATTGTGCATAGAACATCAGCAGGACATCTTGTTTAAGGTCATTTTCACATATTTAAGGATGCCTTTCCATCTGTAGTTTCCAAAAGTTGTCAAAGATGCAACAACAACATTCTGATGCAACACAGACAAAACATCCCACAACAGCCCTATAAAAATCCAGATTACACACATTTGCAGTACATTCTGCCGAGGTGGTAGGATATTATAATGTATGCAACAATTTGATGTACATGTTGTATTGTAGTGAAAACAAACAACTTTGACACCAATGATTTTTAGTGTATTAGTACTAAGCTACCTTGTACATACATGTGCTTGAATCCAGTGTATCTAGCCAAGAGTTTTTCTCTTTCAGAATTGTCAAAGACAAAATGAATATTCCCCCAAAATTTTCTCTATACTATAGTATAATCCTGTGTTTGTAAGAAATGATATTGTGTTATTTCTGATTCAGTGCAGATATGAAACATTGTAAAAATGTACATGTAAAGTTTGGATCATATGGTATCATGTACTGATGAGTTTAGGTTGCAACAGAAATTATGTAAATTATCCTAGAAATTTTGTAAACCATTTGTACCACAGACTCTAAGGCTAAAGAACTCATCAGAAAGTTTATGCAAGTTCTAGATATTAAGTTTCAGGGCTCGAAATACCACCTGCATATGTCTAAAAGTTCAGGTAAAATTGGAGCTGTGCAGGTATTTCTGATGTCTACCGGCGCCTAACCTGCACTGGTCTAGCCTCCTTCGCAGTCTTGTTGGGCGTGGGCGTAATTTTTTCTCTGAGCGACGCTAGTAATATGCCGCCGCGAGGGACGATTTGCTGCCGAGGGACTTTTGCCACGGAGAGAAGGTTTCCGCGCTCCAACAAGACTGCTTCCAATCGGCGAGTTAAAAGGGCTATCAAAAAACACTTAGGAGCGATTGGCATGGATGTGTGAACTTCCCGCAATAAACGCCACCAGTGCAGGGTGGTGTTCACGCCCCGTTGATCGACGAGCCAAAACTTGTAACTTTCCAGCGGTCGCCGATCAACCCGTCGGTAGAACGCCAACCATTCCCGAAAACCCAGCCCTATCCACTCAACAAAATCCCGGAGACATTGCTGCTACGAAAAACAACTTTGAACAAATCACTACCACAGGAACCTCAAGCTAAACTCTGATATTGCTGGGGGACGTCGACAGATAAACAAAGTGCCGCCATGTTGTTTGGTGGCGGGTTGATCTCACTGACCATGGGAGGGTAACACACCGCTCCGCAGCAAGTTGCGTAATAGAAAGAATTGCACATTTCACCAGCAAAAATAGTGACTGCAAATTGTCTTGGTTTGTTTGCATGGGACGCTTAAATATGCACGGCAATGCCTTTGTTGTAACATTACCAATGTTCTCTGTTGGAACCTTCGACTATAACGTCACGCAAGCTAATAAAACCAACCATTGACAAAGGCGAGCGCGTGTCATGCGTATCTATGAATTACCCTTGCGCGGACATGTGAATTGGACCTGCGCGAACATGTGAATTGGACCTGCACGAACATGTTAATAGCCTCTATGAAAGGCTGGCTTAATCCGAGGTCCTTTTAACTCGCCGATTGGAAGCAGTCTTGTTGGAGCGCGGAAACCTTCTCTCCGTGGCAAAAGTCCCTCGGCAGCAAATCGTCCCTCGCGGCCGCATATTACTAGCGTCGCTCAGAGAAAAAATTACGCCCACGCCCAACAAGACTGCGAAGGAGGCTAGCACTGGTCCATGTACTGGGTATATGCAGGTTAGTGCAGGTAAAATTGGAGCTGTGTATGTATTTCTGATGTCTACCTGCACCTAACCTGCACTGGTCCATGTACTGGATTTATATAATATATACAATCATGTAGGAGTATGTTGATTTCTAATTCGTTGCACTTACCACAATGGTTTCTGATCAGTGTTTAAAGTAATCCCTATTCTCTAAATTCTGAGCAGTGCAGGTAAAATTTGTAATTTTAAATTGTACCCGCACTGGTGCAGGTATGCAGAAATAAAGTATTTTGAGCCCTGAATGAATAATCTGATGTCGTAGGCAGTCACAATGTCTCCTACTTAGCATTACAGACCTTAAAATGCTTAGAAAACAGAAACTGTATATTACAATGAAAGAAGTCAACAGATAGATACAAGGTTTAATTAGTGTCTATGTCATATATGTATTTTGCTTAGCTCCGATCCTATTTCACACTGTTGCATACAAATATGTAGTTGCGTACTGTTTATGTTATAAAAGATTATGTACCTAATTTTACATCGGTTTTCTGTACATAATTTACAAATTGCCAAGTTAAGAAATTGGTTCAATTAAGAAAAAATGACCATGAACAGTTAAATCAGGTTAAAATGTAAATATTTTTAGTGAGAATTTATATTTCTCTTCCTAAATTTCAAGATGTTGTAACAACAACAAGTTTGGCTAAGTCAAACAAAACAATGCATTCCCAAGTGCAAGGTTATGTATTTATTTTAAAGTCATATCAGTAATGACAAATAAAAATAGTGCTTATATGTGACCAACTGCCAAATTTTCAAAACTTGGAAACCTTGTACCACATATTTAGCAGTCAAAATGACCTTATCCATGTCTTATTTGTATATTTAGATTATTTCTTCAATATAATTGTTTAGACTGCTAAAAATCATTTCTTTACCCATCCATTGTGTAGGCCACAACAATTTACTAGTATTTCCTTGGTTTCCAACATTTCAAGGTGAAAATAAAGCAAGGTAAACACACAAGGCTGGGACAAAATCTTGAATATGACTATTTTCACACCATGAAACTCAGTGCACCTGCACAATTTAACAAGTAACAATTATAGAAACATTAATAAACTTGGCGTAAGCTTTATTCAAAACAGAACTAGGTGGCCTTATGTCTTATTCAAACAAAATCATGTGGATTGTTTCTTGTTGAGTTCCTAATGTCCTACAATATCACTTTGGTCACCTATGTGTCCTATTAGGCCACTGGGATAGTGTAAATTTATATTGGTACTTTGGACCTGTACCTAATCAATTTTCCTTGTATGTACTGTATGTTCACAGTACCAGTACCCAGTCCTAGCACCAAGGCATCAATTTCATTACACGTATGTTTTTCCAGTTAAAATTAAGTAGAACCCACGAATTTAATCAGTTTGGCCTTCTCTTATTATGAGTAGATGTTTCAGAGCCTTTAGCCTAGAGCTCAGTTTGTATAGCGTGCATTCCATCTTTTCCATGCATGTGATGAGAGACATACAGAAAAGTCTAGAGCATTTAAAAGTCAGAACCAGACTAAGTTGCACAGCAAAATACTAAAAATGCAGTTGTTGTACTTTGGTATCTGCAAGGAAATAATATGATGTAAATAATCATAATTGTAAAATACTTCAGTTGTATTAGTTTTTACATCTATCATTAAATTTTGCTTTATTTGAAAGACAATGCCTCCAATTATATACATACTAGACAAGCTGTGTTGAAAATTTGCAAAATGACTTTTTCTAAAAGTAAGTACTGAATAAGGATTAGGGTTTTCACAATACCAAAATCATCTGAAATTTGTGAATTATGCTGTACAAAAGTCCACAGCAATACCGGCATAGTCACAGGTGCCATATGTGTATAGCTTTTAAAGAGAAATACATTGTATACCGGTGGCATATTGAATTGTCGTATCTAATTATATGAGCTAAGGGTAAGACTGGCAAAAACAATGCAGCACTCAATGTTAAGTCTGGAATGGGTATTGGTATCATGATGACATGATAAATTCATTTGCCATTTGGGGACTATTATATATGTTTTAACTCTGTGATTGGAACAATTCTCTAGTAAAGTAGAAATAAAAAATGTACAGCAAGATGATTTACAAAGGAGATGTAAATTATCAAAAAATAAACAATAAAATGAGGCTGCAAACATTTCAAGATTTACAGTAACATCTTTGCCCCCTTTTTCCATTTCAGGGTTTTTATTGAATGGTGCATAAGACATTTGGGTATACATGTGTACGAAAAAGACAGCTTTTGTTATTATGTTGACTGAACAATTTTGCAAGCTAAAAGTTGATACAAATTGTATATATACATTAAGAATAAATAAGTTTTACTGCGTATTTGTGTGAATCTTTACATTTTTCCATGACCTCTTACCATCACCTATTGGTAGCAATTTTCATTGTGTAATTTCATTTACATAATGTCCGCCAAATTTCCAATATTCCTCAGATTATCACATGTTTGAATACTTTCAAATGCCCTGCAGTTCCAGAACAATCTGTCAGGGGCCCAAACATAGTAACTTATACACATTGTATAACATCCGGAACCTGTCAGGGTGGTCAAATTCGGGCCCAAATGTCCCAACCTTCTTTCAATCCAACCTTCTTCTATGAGCCCAGGTGACTGTGGTACCAGCGACTGTGGTACCAGCAACTATGGTACCAGCGACTGTGGTATCAGGGACTGTGGTACCAGCGACTGTGGTGCCAGTGACTGTGGTATCAGGGACTGTGGTACCAGTGACTGTGCACGTGGTACCAGCGACTGTGGTACCAGCGACTGTGGTACCAGTGACTGTGGTACCAGCGACTGTGGTGCCAGTGACTGTGGTATCAGAGACTGTGGTACCAGCGACTGTGGTGCCAGTGACTGTGGTATCAGGGACTGTGGTACCAGTGACTGTGGTACCAGCGACTGTGGTACCAGTAACTGTGGTACCAGCGACTGTGGTGCCAGTGACTGGTACCAGCGACTGTGGTGCCAGCGACTGTGGTGCCAGTGACTGTGGTATCAGGGACTGTGGTACCAGCGACTGTGGTACCAGCGACTGTGGTACCAGTGACTGTGGTACCAGCGACTGTGGTACCAGCGACTGTGGTACCAATGACTGGTACCAGTGACTGTGGTACCAGTGTGTCCCAGATGGCTCTGCCTATTGCAATGTAAAATCTTGCTTTCCGGTTAACATTGTAAATCTAAGCAGCTGCATATGTAGCACCCATATATAAGCAGTTTTTTGGCGACGCCTCGGGCGGAGCCGTTGATATAGTACTGCGATTGAGTTGAAAATATTCTAAGAATGCCACGAATGTATTCCATAGGGAACTAAATTTTGTCAACAAAATAACTCAAGAACGGCTGGATGGATTGGTTTCATACTTGGTGGGTCCGTAGCGTGTGCCTACATCTAGAAATGATGAGATTTTTGGCCCCCTAGTGGCTTCCATTGGCACTGCAGCGGAACTTCTGGTCTTGATATGTCACGATCTGGACATGCTAGGGTCATGAATTTTGCATGGTACGTAGCTCTTGTGTTTGGAAAGAAGGCCCCCTAGCAGCTTGTTCTGGAACTGCAGGACGGTTTGTTTAAAAAATATTCAAGACTAAACAAACGGGTCGACGGCTCGTCGTGATTTTTGGTATGTAGGTCGCTTCAATTACAATTATGCAAATTAGTATCTGATTTGCATAATTGATGAAGAAATTCTGTAAATCTGGAGTGTTCAATATTAGGACTGAAACACTTGGGACATACGTAATTGAGAACGACAAGCTCTTTGGCAGGTATTGATTATGTAAATGAAAATCTAATTTGCATAATTAATGGGAACTACACAATTTTTTAGTGGTATTGCTGGGAATTTAGTACACATGTACAGGGTTACAGGGTTAGGCGGTAGGGAGAAGGTGAACAATGTCAGCAGTAGTGATACATGTATTTAGTCTCATTTCTCAACTTTCTTCCCTCTAAATTAAAAGAAAAATAAAAATAACCTCCAGTCATATTTACCCATCACATGCCCTGTCCTTGGTTCTGACTACCTTCCCTTCACAATATACATTTTAGTTTCTCTGTCTCTGTCATGATGTGTGTTACGAATGTATTATATACACCAGCCTTCCTTTTACATTACTGTAACAGTATCTGTATCTCTGTCGTGCTGAGTGTTATCATACAGAGCTGTTGTATAGGAACTCTGTTTAAACACATCTTTCTGGGTGGTGGGTATATGAGACCTGTTCTTGGTGCTGACTGACATTTTGGTCTCTGTCATGATGTGTGTAACAAATGTATTATATGTACTAGATTTTATCAGGGTGGAGGGTATATGTGACCTGTACTTGGTGCTGACTGCCTTCCCTTTACATAATACATTTTACATATAGTATCTCTGAACCACGGCGCATTTCATTTCACTTCATGATCACTTTATTTTATTTATACAGGAAATTGCACTCAGGTCATTTGACCTGTTTTTCAGACAATCCTTTTTTTTAAACACCGCAATACCTTCACAAATCACAATGACAACAATTACAACATATACAATTATTCTACCAGATACATTTTACATATCATGCATCTTTGTTAAGCGACGCTTAAATGTCCTGAACTCAGTCAGTGTTCTCAGTTCAATGGAAAGGTCGTTCCACAGCTTCGCGACAGCATATCGTCTCCCGAGACGGAAGGATGCCAACAATCTCTGTCATGATGTGTGTTATGATACATGCTAGATTTTGTATTTGGGGATCTGTTTAGACACATTTTATCAGGGTGGAGGGTATATGTGACCTGTCCTTGGTGCTGACTGCCTTCCCTTTACATTACTGTTACAGTAACAGTTTCTCTGTCTCTGTCATGATGAATGTTAATATACAGAGATTTTGTATTGGGGATCTGTTTAGACACATTTTGTTAGGATGGGGGGGGGGTACATGTTACCTGTCCTTGGTGCTGAATATACCTCCCCTTTACATTACAACTATATCTCCATGTATGTCATTCCTCCTGTATTGGGGATCTGTTCAGACACATTTTTCAGGATTGCAGATATGTGACCTTGCAGCATTATGTGAGTAGATGTTGCACCATGATATTTTTAGTTCTCCATAACTTATAAAGTGTCATCAAACCTTTTGACTCTGAAGTTACTCAAGATATTCTTGAATTCTCTATCTTTTTCATAATCTTTAGAACCTACAAGTTTCCGATGGAAATTATGCCAATAATAAAGTTTTCAGCTGTGACAGTGTATATCCAGTCTTGTCAGATCTACAGCAGTATTACATTGTATTTCCTATTCTAGAGAACAGGGGTGCTCTGCTCTATTACTATGTCTTCTAACTCTTTGTACAGAACAGGAAAATCCAGCAAGGCAAAAGTCAGTAGTTTTGAATTTTGCTTTATTTTCATTTTATAAAGAGGTGCATCAATAAAGGACATTATCACAGATATCATGGAGAAACCTTTTTTTTTGTTATCATGGCTCACATAGTCCTGTACATGTATAAGACTTGGGACAGGATTCAGCATTAGAAGTGGGCACAATTTCAGTGCTTCTAGTGTCATGGAAGGTAGTAGACAGCACCGGGCTTAGAATGCTTTTTGATTAATCTCCAAGAAGATACTAGGGTGGGAAAGACAGAATCGAATTGGCCAGGCAGTGTCTATTGGCCACAGTGGATCCATATAAACACACACACACGCACACACGCACACCACAGTGGATCCATATAAACAAACACACACACAAACACACATGCACACTCACACACACATGCACATTCACACACCACAGAGGTGGCACACACGCACGCACATACACGCACGCACGCACACACACACACATACACTGTACACACACCTGGACAATCACACACACACACACACACAGTCACACACACTTGCACATGCGCACACATATATAATAATAATAATAATAGTGGTTTATTTCATTCTGACCGTACGATACAGAGTAGCAGGGTCCCCGTAGGACCCTGAATTGATCTGCCGCATTACATAAGTGTTTAAATACGATTGACTTCAATATTACAAGCAAGTATTAAAACAGTTAAAAACAGCAAATTATTTTGAAATATTTACAATACGTAGGTTACGATCGTAGGTCATTCAGTTAAAAACATCATCTATAGTAATAAAAAACATCATCTATAGTAATAAAACTTCTTCTACACACTGTTGTTTAGCAGACTGGTTAAGAATGGGATTGGACTGTTTCTGTACCGCTCTGTGTGTACTGGCAATCGGTCTAGTTGGTTTCTTTGTCTTGTTACCCTACCGCTGACGTCACCTCTGAGTTCGGGCAGCCAACCACGGTACTCTTCTGAGTTGAGCAGTTTCTTAGCAAACTTCAGACAGAGAGTGGAACGTCTGTCATCAAGTGTTTGTAAGTGAAGCACGTCGCAGGCTGACGAATACCCATGGTAGTTTCTTCCCAGCATTATCTTTGCCGCTCGCCTCTGTATGTTCTCTATTCTTTTCCGTTGGTCACGTGTTAACCCCCCATGCCATACCGGGGCGGCATACTCAACCACCGGGCGAACAAACGACTTGTAGACCGTTAGCAGATCCTCCACCGGTAGATCAAACTGACGTAGTCGGCACAATAAGTACAAGCGCTGGTTCCCCTTACGTGTCATTTCTCTGACTTGACTGTCCCATCCCAGGTTGGCTTGAAATGTGACTCCCAAGCACTTGGCAATGGGCACAACCTCAAGCTCGTGTCCGTTAATGGATAGAGGGGGCGGTGGTGGGGGGTTGCGGGCAAAGCAGATGTGCATAGCTTTGCACTTAGTGGGATTAAGCTTCATTTTGTTCTCCTCAGTCCAGGTGGACAGTTCGTCCAAATCGTGCGGATTAAAGTAAATAAAGATTAGCGTTAGTTACATAACGTTATGCATTAAATATAGAGGACTATTTTTTACCGCCAGCCTAACAAATATTTGGGCTGTCGTAATCTTTTACACATTAACGGTTGGTCTTGGATAGATGTAAATGAAATTGACACATCGGTCGCTAATCCAGATCAGGCGGCCAAGTGTCAGGCATAATCTAATACTCTGTTTGTATTTGAACTAAACTTGTTAAAAGTATGTTTTATGTTGCTAACAGAGGTGTGATTTCTGACTGCGGGTAAGAGACAATCACACCACGAAAAACTAAGGCGTTGCTGCTGTATGCCAAAAAAAAAAGCATTGCATAATTATGTAATCCTGAGATAACTAATTAATCTGCCGCTAAGACAAGATAAATCTTGTCATTTTAATCAGTAATCCTCTGTTCGTGGATTGGCTGGCTGTACAGACACGGGTGTTTGTCAATCATACACTTTTGACGACAGCTTTCTACGCACTTTTCTATAATGAATATCTCTATGGATCCGTGGTTCGAATTTATCAAGCCTGGAAAGCGTTGGTATGGGACGATCTTCATCCCGTAAGACACGCCTAACCACGAGCAGATTCTCTACCGACTCCGAGACCAGATTTGGAATATGGTTAGCTTCTCCATCTGGGGTGACTACTACACGCCATTTTTGCCTACACCCAGCTAGACTACGATTATATCATTGACGTGCTGAAACACGATTTCCCTGAGGTCAAGTTTTTGGTGATAGCGGCTTCAAAGTCTATGTAGAAATAACACTAAACAGGCTCTGAATTCCAGGGCCGGCCCTCAAAACCAAAGAAAGAGCTATATCGGTTTCACAACCATCACAGATGTGAATGTATTGAGTGTCAAAAAAGTCTTGTACTACATGTACATGACAAAAAAAATCAGCATGTGTTTTTCCAATCAATTCACAAAATGTTATGTAGTATTTATTCAATAGTTTTGAAATGAATAGTCTCTGTCTATTTGCCAAATTTCAAGTTATATTCTCGCTTTAACGAGATATTCATAGTGTTCGCCTTCCACACTTCACAGTACCAGTACCCAGTCCTAGCACCAAGGCATCAATTTCATTACACGTATGTTTTTCCAGTTAAAATTAAGTAGAACCCACGAATTTAATCAGTTTGGCCTTCTCTTATTATGAGTAGATGTTTCAGAGCCTCTAGCCTAGAGCTCAGTTTTTATATCCTGCATTCCATCTTT